AAGATGGGATACAGGTCGCATTACATCAAAAAAATTGGAATTGAGTCACTTCAGGCTGCAGTGTGAACGCACCCTTAGTCCTTCTTTGTTGTGCTAATAGCACTTAGCATTCATCAACAAGCAACACAAATAACCATCCAGCCTGAACACATTTCGCTAAGCAGTAAAACGTAATTTAACGAAGCTTCAAGGCAGATAATTTGCCTCGAGAAATGTTAGTAATCAAGGTAGTGGAATCATTCAACGAATCGTTACAGCCTAGTTAAGTCAACACAGCCCTCCTACCTTGTAGCAACCGATTGCCTTGTTGATCTCTCCCTCTCTTTCATAGAGCTGTCCCAGGAATTTGTGTGCTTTGGGATCCCTCTCCTGCACTTTGAGATACTCTGATACATGTCTGAGGAGAGCATGAGATGAGTACAGTCAATACAACATCAAGGAAAACAAAAGAAAACAAAAACTAATTTTACCCCACAGTAAAGATGCTTACCGTTTTGCAAGTTCATATTCTTTTGCTTCAAAGTACAGTTTGGCAAATAGAAATCCTCTGACTGGCTTCTGTAGAAAAAAAGGAAAACAATATATAAACATTTATTATCTAGAAACACAGGGTTTCCCCTAGTGTATAATAAGCCTGGCAGGCCACCAGGCTTTACTTGTGCCCCCACCAGGCTTGGCATTGCTTTACTTAAGTTTTTTTTTTTTTTTTAAATGTTTGCATTTTTTAAGACTTTACAGTTGGTGTTCAGATATTAATCTTCCAATAACACATAATTATCAAGTGATATTTTTAAAATTCCTGTCAACTTTAAGCATTTTTTAACTCAAAAACATTGCGGACCGCTGGATGAATGACTGCCAGAGCACCCAACCACTGGATTTGGCAAGTTTTCTGGGGGAAACCTTGAACTGGAAATGTTACTTTAATTTAAAGGTAAGTAGAGTTGGGCAGCAACTAGTTATATTTACTTGAGTAGCTTTTTATGAAAAAGGGGAAAAAAAAACCTTTTAGGAGTATTTTTACTACACTGCACTTTTTACTTTTACATGAGTTATTTTATTATGAAGTATTTCTACTCTTGAGTAACATTTCTGGATTTTCTACCCACATGTTTTAACTAAAAATTCACCAGACACAGACACACACCAGCAGTTTTTGTTAAAGTTTTATAAGTTTTTTATTGAAAGAAACTGATTTGGAAAAATTTCCCTTTGCCTGATTTTATTTTTTTTGTTACCGATATGAATTACTGTCATTTTCATCCTTAAAAATTCCAAAATTTCCACTTTTTAAATATTAAATGATCGATAATTTGATCAGTTACTCAGTACTTGAGTTGACCTGTCACAAATACTTTTTCATTCTTACTTGAATAATTTCTTGGATAGCTAGTTTCTACTTATACTGAAGTAAAGATATGTTGAAGGAGTACTACTCTTACATGTGTACAATTTTTGGCTACTCTTGACAACACAGGTGAATGCTTACTCACTGATGTCACATCTTCTGCTTGCACCACCTGACTCACAAAACAAACACACCCAGCCTGCAGCTTTATTTGCATGTCAAATTTGCCAAAGTTTACATTTAGTGACTCCATATAATAAAGAGTAAATCTGGACTCATCTGATAACATACATATTTTATTGTACCAGAGTCTGATCTCCTTACGTAACCGAAGCCTCGCCGTTCAGTACTTCGCGTTCACAATAAGCTGATGTCATTCATGTGATAGCTGTTGACCTTTAATCCATGAAGAATTACATCCATGCCAAGTTAAACCCGTCCTGAGAGTCATTTCACTAAATCTAGCAAAAACAAATAATCCCTGTTCTTTTGGATTTTTATCTGTCCTTCATTCAGTTTCAAAAAAGCAGAAGTACATGAATGGTGTTATTCTGTGCAGTTAGCCTGCATCAGGCAGACTTAGTTTGTTATTTAGAGTCTAATCAGGACTCTTTCTGGCCTCAGAGAGAATCTATAACTTCAGACTGATTCTGAAAAAGAAAACACAAAACTAGTCAGTCAGCTGAGAAGTAAAGATTCGTAAGCCCATGAAAATACTGACGGTAAAGCAGCACTATAATCTCTAACAGAGAATAATTTAAAGATTGTTATTCATATTTTAATGCATTACTTATAATCAGTTAGAGACATAAGCTCTGAGACAGAAGATAGCATTATTAAATGTTGCAATGGTTACTTCTTTAAATTACACACAAATTATTTGAGGAATCAAACCAAAATAAATGAAATAAAAATAATTAATAAAATATTCCTGTTTGAATCCATCACAATGATGACTTTTTGAAAAGAAAGTTTTATTTATAAAATAAATAAACCAATTAATCCATATTCTGTGGTCATCATGTGGAGAAGGGAAACAAAACTTAATTATTTTGGTCTTAGTAGAAAATAAACAAAATCAGATATTAAAAAGTAATAAAAGTGTCATCTTTAACTAATTTCATTTGTTTTAAAATTATTAAAGCCACACTCACACAGTGTGACATCACCTCTATCCCCAAGTTAAATAACACCCACACAGGAAGGATAGGAGAAAATATTTTTATTTTGGGTCTTAAAAGCGCTAAAAGAGAAATGGACAGATGTGCTGCAGTTTATTTTAAACAGTTACAACACGTTTACAATAATCTTGCATAATTTGATATTATAACAATTACTACAAAGAACTTTCCTCCGATGCAACTGTTCTAAGTATTTTGAGAATTAAAATGACTCCAATAGGCATGCCATGACATGCAAATAAATAGTTTTGGTTTGTACCACAGTAGTTATTAAGGAAGCAAACGTTGTTAGCTCGTCTTGATCCTAATTTACTATTTAAGAAGTAAAGTATGTCGAAATGCTCTGAGAAAACTTGGTCAAGCTCAGTTTCGTTTCACACACCGGAATGGACTTCGGATCTGCTTTTGCATCGTCCTGTGTGAAACTTAGTTGCGAGTGAATCACCGTTATCTACAGCCTCACTTAATATTTCAAAAAGGTCACTAAAAGAATAGTAAACATGTCAGTGTGATGCGTGACAAGCTAGCGCTATTTTATGAAACCTACGGGCAACCGCGCATTTCAAGGCAGGGCGATAACACTGAAGTTAGCATCCGATTCGGGGAGTGAATAAAGGGCTATTCCACTTATTTTACAACACATAGACAATGTTTCCCCAGCTCGAGTTGGAAATTTGAGAGAATTACCACACGCCAAAGATATACTGGACTATTTTACACTGAAATAAGTAATGTTCACACATAGGAAGTGATCTGTACATGAAAGATTCTTAGCCAACAAGTTGTGTACTGTATAACTGCGATTACATTAGGCAGTCAACGTTTGAAATTTAGAGAATGAAGGTTTACCTTAAGATGTTGAGATTTAAAATGGCTATATATATTATATTGTTGAATTAGAGTTTAGAAAAGCTACCCTTAGTTCGTTTAAAACCAAAAAACTAGCTGTTTACTTAAGTGTCGAATCAGATGCTATACGTTTCTGAAGCTAACGTCTTGGCCGTAAAGCCGGTTGATAGCATGTGCCGCTAGCAGGAGACGGCTAACAGAGGTTCAACCAACAACCAATATAAACACAAACTGGTGACAAGCTCGCGTAGTCAAAACTCCAACCTGTGTTTGGATCAAATACAGTCAAATTTGAAGCTAAACGCCGACTGAATGTCACATGCGTCTCAGACCTAGCGGCGGGAGCAGGCTAACATGCTTAGCCGCTGGTACTGTCTTACCTCTTTGAGTGAAGGAGAGGAACTCTGTAAGGAGGAAACGTAGAGGTCCACTTCAGCCTTACTCCGCCTCATGGCTTCAATTGTCAGACTTCTACAAGAGCTAACCACACTTCACAGACTAGAAGAGTTCGCGAAATGTAAAAGAAACACTGACATTAACATCACGTTAACTCCCCATAGTGATAATGCGCAGTCAAATGGCAGAGCGCGTTACGTTGTCATGCGCAAACTTGAAACAGACTTTCCGACCAATCAGAACGGAGTATTCTCTGACGCACGCTGACGCACTGTATTTTAAAAGAGGCTTGAGATTGTAGAAGTCCAAGCATAAAGTAAATAGACATTTCAATTACATGCACCAAATTTGAGTGTTTCTGTTTATTTAAAAAAAGAAGCAATAGAAGAGTCAGAAACATTAAACTTTTTTTGTTTAATGTTCCTGTTCCTACTTTTAAAATGTTTTATCCAGTCTTCATGAGTTCATTGTTTAGACTTTTGCTGCTTTATGTTCACAAGTTTTGTTAATATTAAAAGATAATATGTAGCATATATGCATTCAGTCTCCCTCAGTCATTTTCTGTTATTTTTGCAATTCAAGTCTTTAAATACATTTAGGTCTAGGCTCTGTGCCATTCTAACATGTAAATATTTGTCTTATTTCTTATGTAGGGACAAAAATTAAAAGAATAAAATCACAAAATTCTATAGGATTTTTTTTATTTGCACAGCAGTAAATGTAAACAAAACATTTGATTTAGCAAATAAAATAGTCTCACTCTTTTTGTTAGAAAGAGATGTATCATTGTAGACCCAAAACTAAACATATGCTTCCACCTTGCAAATTTGGGCTTGATTTAATAAAATTCTGTCCATACAGCAATAAGATTGAAAATGCTTGATTTATTTAGTTTTATAAATTAATAAAAAGAAGATTTTGGCTCATAAAAGTCTGTTGCTGTGTGAAAGTCAGTGGATTGATGTGGTCATATTTACTTTGAAGTTAAAGGCAAAAAGTGTGATTTATTGAAATTCAATTTAAATTCAAAAACACTTTACTGATCCAAAAGGGAAAAATAAATGTTGTTGAAATAATATTTCATTAATTTCCATTGGAAGATTTTTTTTTCTTCAAAGCTGAGCGTCATTATTGATGTGGTATTCTACATTTTGACATAAACAATGATCCAAGAATGGCTCACAGAGGAACACCATGACAGAATTTCACTTGCCCAGATTTATAATTAACAAATAACACAGTTGTCTCTGTCTCTAACACATTCCCACTGTATTTATAATATGATCAGCTGTCAAACACAGCACTAACATTGAGTAAAACCAAGATGGAGCTTCTAGAAGCATTGATGTTAGCAGCTACATAATTTAAAATTTATCTTAAAGAAGTAAATCTACTTAGAAACAGCCTTTTAAATGATTTCCATCATAAATTTTACTTTTTAATAAAGCATCTTTTCTTTATAAAAGATTTCAAGAACATCCGCCACATTTCTGTACACCATAAATCCATAATCCTAATTAAAAAATTATGTGAAGCTCTCAACCAGAAAACACCAGTCCACACGGATTTCAAGCTTGGGCAAATTGTGTTTATTGTGCCAGTATAGGACTTTAAGCAGCAGGAAAGAAGAACATGAAACATGCACTTTGGTGTGTCTTCAGAGGAAAAATACAGTACAACACGGTTCCATAAAACATAATCTAGTTGCCACATGGCAAATAAAACTACACCCTGGAGTATTTATAGTGCTGCTGAAGTTCTGCCTAACAACAACCAGTCCATTGGGTGCTTCTGCAAAATACAACTGTGGAATGTTTTTTTTTTTTTTTTTTAACTAGTGAATCAAAATACTAAGAGCAAAGCCTTGCAAGGTAAAATATGGCAGATAAATAATTATTTTGAAACAGAGGGCTGCTGCTTTGTTTTGCAAAGCAAGTCTGAGCTCCCTAAGAGGATCGCTTTCATTCACTGGATTTACAGTCAGAAGCTCTTAACGTCGAACATGACTCTCACATCCGGTCTCTGCACATGTCACAAGTTGTAGCACGCGCGCGCAGATGCATGTGGCAGCAGTTGCTGTAACTTAAATCCTGTCACAGTGGCACCTCATGTGTTCAGCACTTTTTTTCAACAGAACTGATTTTTACAAGTGGAGGTTCAGATGTTGGAGTGGACTGCACAGCAAATGCTGCTCTAACAATTATATTATGCATCGACTAGTTGAGAGTGGGGAAAAAAATTGGGATTTATTTCATCACTATAATATTTGTGATATTATTTTTCATGTTGAAGTTTATTTGTATCGCACTTTTCAGCAACACTTTTCAGCAACAACTAATTGCTGAATAACAATTAGGTCACTGAATGTCCGTTAATGACTTAATAACCAGGAATAATTAATATTCAGAAATGGTTAACATGTTAATCAATTATTTATACATTTCTTATTAATTTATAAATTAATAATTAAATACTTCTTACTTTATTCTACAATAACAACTGTCATTTTTCTGTGAATATATATCTAAAAGCTGTTGACATTATATGAAAAATTAAAATTAATACTGTAGCATGTCATCTAAAATACTGCGTTCAAGCCAGATGCATGTTAGACGAAATCGGTATCTGGAGCACAAATTCTCATTACGTGATAATTTTACCTTTCAAACTTAATACACATTTAGTTACATTTAGTTTAGTAAAACGCCTGTAACGGTTTATTGTGTTGTGTGTAAACATTTAATAAAACGTATTTCTGTAGCTTGTTTTGAGTTTATGTATTGTTATTATTCTAACAGGAGGCAATTTTGGCTTCAGATAACAGATTAAACAACCTGCCAGAACAGCTTTTCAGTCTTATTTCCACGTCTCTTACAGTTTATTAAATATAGAACATATAATATAAATCGCAGTGAAAGAAGCGAATGTATAAAAACAGAATTTATGCAAAAAGACTTGAAGCTAAACCAGTTTAAGGAGGATGAAATCAAGGCACTTTGCAGGTGTGTGGCTACAGGTGAGGGGTCGTGGGGTCGGCCACCTCAGGGTTTCATCTCCTTCAGCTGCTTAACCGTCGGTTCACTTCCGTGCAGCAGCTTCGGACAGCTTCTTCAGCCGCTTTTTCAGCTCCAATGGGAACTTCTCGTAGCACTTCTTACACACCGGCTTCATGTCGAACTCCACAAACTTGTTCCTGCGGGGTGAAAACATAACCAGTTGTAGCAATAAAAGAATCCAGTGGTACAAAAATGTTGCTGGATTTTGGCTGCTTCTTTGGTACATTCAGTACATTTTTTGCAAACAAAGGATAACAGTGGAGGGATTGTAAGGAATTAATAAATAATTAAATCTTTTCATTAAAACTATTTTTTTCTTGCAACATTGAGACATTTTTTCTCGTAAAATTACGTCTTTAATTCTATGACTATTTTTGTAATTCAACAAAAATTAATGTAGCCTGGCTCTGATATTCCATCGTTAAACACACAGAAGGGATGATTGAAATAAAAACCACTTTTTGAAAATATTTTCTGTCATTTATAATATTTTTTAGTAAATAAAGGTAGGAAAAAAATATTTAAAATCAGATATTGGATCTAGTCTAAAATCCAGTATTTTTAAGCTGCATCACCTAGCCCTAGCACCTACAGTACATACACCACAAATAAATAAATAAATAAATAAATAAATAAATAAATAAATAAATAAATAAATAAATAAATAAATAAATAAGACAAAACTAACATACAAGTAACTTTTCAACAAGATATAGGAGCTTGTTTTAAGTCAAAATTCCTTAATATTGATGAAAAAGTATAATTTTCCCATGTAATAAGTGAAATGATCTGCCAATCTGCACAATATTAAGAAATTGTTGACTTAAAACAAGCTCCTTTACATTACTGAAAAGTTTACTGATGTTCATTACATCCTTTGAACAAAAATAATTAATAATAATGATATTTTAGTCTGGACAGTTCTGCCTATTTTGACCTCCTTTCAGAACCAACTGACACATGTACTAGAGTTCCGCTCGGGTTGCTAGGTGACGGGCTGGGCTGGTCTGGGGTTGCTAGGTGACGGGCTAGGCTGGTCTGGGGTTGCTAGGTGACGGCGCAGCGCCAACAGAATGTGATTTAACAAACGGAGGATTTTTTGAAACTATTAATTTTCTAGGAACCAAAAGGCAATAACTTGCCAAAAAACACGGTTGAGTGGTTTTCAGGCATATGGATCGATTTTTTTCCAGCTTTTGTTTTCACTCAGCCGTTTCTAAAGTATTTACGCTACCAGGACTGGGTCACGCATAGCAACAAGAGGAAACTTTAGATTTGCTCAGATGATGGCAGAAAGCTGCCGAATGTGATTACGGATTTACTCCTAACGCCAGACAGACGGGGGGAACCAGGAAACAAAGCGTTCCCTTCAGCCTGCGACTGATTCTGATTCTGCTGTTTGCACAGCAAGCTCTGGTCCAAATCCTGATCTTCATTTCCTGCTGAGAGGCAGTCACGTGCGGGGAAAAACATTTCAGTATTACGTCACTCAACTAAGCCAAATCTCTGCTTCAATGAGTGTTAGAGAGGTTTTAGGGTTAAATATGGAAAAGCAGAAAACTGAAGGAAGATCAAAACTGACCAAAGGAGGAACAGCTGCAAGGAGGACAGAGAGCAAGGGAGTATCAAAGACACATGGGTATCAGCGGTTTCTTCTTCTTCTCTTTTGAGTCACGCTCACGCTTGGCCAGCCGACGTCTCAAATCGTCTGGGAGTCTTTCGAAGCAGTGTTTGCACACAGGCTTCAGATCCACCTCAACAAATTTATCCCTGACGGAGCAGGGATGATGGAGAGATGAACGGCAGAGAAAGCAGTTCAGGAGGAAAAAGAAGTGTTAGGAGACAGCAGAGAGGACAAAGAAATAAGCAACAGGAGAGATGGAAGAAAAGACAACAGACAGATTAGAAATCAGGAAAGATAAGACTGAAAATCATGATTGAAAGCAGCAAAATAAGTCTCAGAGGCAAGACTGACAACTGAAGAGCATGCAAAGAAGAAAACCTTATTTATGTTAATGTCAAAAAGGTACAAATATAACCAGGGAGGGTCACAACTTGATGATAATTTAAATTAATTGAGATGCAGTTTTATTTCCTGTTCTAATCATTAATCAGTCATTATCAGCTTTGGAAACCTCTAAATAAAGAGCATCTGAACTGTTTGTGTGTCGATAAAACGTGTAACTTACTTGAGAGTGAGCTTGGTGTTGCAGGTAGAGCAGGCGAAGCAGTTGACACACCAGGCCTTGTTGAGGGCAGACACCACTGGAAATAAACAACCACAGAGAGTAGATTATAAACACATTATTCTGATTTACTGGAAAAACTATAACTGATCTGATCAAATACATGGATACAGAATAAGAGAAATTCCTCACCGTCTCCCTCGATGACACGATTGCAGTGGTAGCAAACGTCTCCGAACAGCTAAGAGGCAGAAACAGAAGATTATCAACGTAGCAAAACATTTTTTTTATTTTGCCATGGCTCACCCAACATGCTGTTTTCATAAAAATTAAAAACAAAAAAGGGTGCTGGATTACAATGCATCTGAAAGAATAAACCCAAGAAATTACAGAAACATTAAACTTCAATTATTGATGATAAAATGGCAGAATCAGATGACTTCTAATTACATATTTATTATTAGTTCAGTTCTTATGATTATTTTAGATAATTATGATTTAGAAAAGTTGACGATTGTATCCCAAAACACCCACATGTTAAAAATGTACTTTTTCAGTTTAAAAAGTTCCCAGTTCTTACTATGGATTTAATTTGACCTGGTTGTAGTGTGTTTCCTACCTGGTTGTAGTGTGTTAGTTAGCTGGTTAATAGTGTGTTTGTTACCTGGTTGTTTATAGTGTGTTTCTTACCTGGTTATAGTGTGTTAGTTACCTGGTTATAGTGTGTTAGTTACCTGGTTATAGTGTGTTAGTTACCTGGCTATAGTGTGTTTGTTACCTGGTTGTAATGTGTTAGTTACCTGGTTGTAATGTGTTAGTTACCTGGTTATAATGTGTTAGTTATCTGTTTAATGTGTTTGTTACCTGGTTGTAGTGTGTTTGTTGCCTGGTTATAATGTGTTAGTTACCTGGTTATAGTGTGTTTGTTATCTGTTTAATGTGTCTGTTACCTGGTTGTAATGTGTTTGTTACCTGGTTGTAGTGGGTCTCACAGTAAGCCAGGCCCTTGCGCTCGTAGTGACGGTGGCCCAGGAAGGGTTTCTCACACTTAGCACACACAAAATGCTGCAAGCACAACCCAAGGCCCAGCACACATGGTTAGCGCATAAGTCAGTCAGTGACATCATCACACTCATCAGTACAGTATTATTATGTTACACTATGAGGCCAAAACACAACAAAGTTCATTCCAGATGTGATGCTGATGCATCCACACAGGGACTGGAGAAATATTAATAATAGAAGTTTGTAAATTGTTCTTTCAAAATGAGAAAGTCACCTACGTTTTAAAATTTTCTTCTGACTTATAAATTGTGAATAGTAAAATAAAAACAACACAGGCAACAAATTAAAAATCTATTTTGTACAAATTATTTCAATCTAAATTAGCTTTATTTGTAACATTCTCCATATTAGTTGTTATTTACAGTTTTGTTAAAACTCATAACAGTTTAAAAGTTGAACAAATTATCTCTGTGAGCAATACTTTGGCATAAAGCATTTTTTCCTTAGTGAATTATTCGCCAATGGATTATCCCTCTACAATAAACCACCAATTAAATCTTTAAAAAGTGACTAAATTATAAAAAGGAGGCAATATTAGTTAGCTTTTTGTTTTTTACAACAAATATGAACCAGTGTATTCAGTTAAAATATAAATGTGCAATAAATCACATGTGATCTTTATGTCACTGCATGTGAGCTCTATAAAGTTGTTCAATGAAAATACAAAAGAATATACTCTATATTTATTTATTTATTTTGTATTTAAAAAAAATACCCAGATTTTCAGGTTACAATTTAATTTTAATTAATATTAAAGTACTTTGTTAATATAAAGTTGTTTATAATGGTTTTAGATATTTTGATATTTACTGGGGCATATTTTTTTTTTACTGCGATGGTGTAACAAGTAAATTTCCCCACTGTGGGTTTAATAAAGTTTTTTTTGTTCTATTCGTTTTGTTCTATTCTGTTCTAGCTACTGTAAACCCTGCATGGAGGCTGGTTAATTTCAGTCAGGCAGGGAGACGGGCAGCATTCAACACTCAAACAGGTGCGCAGTCCCTCCCTCACCATGTCAAAGTGTCTCTCACAATAGGCACGGCCGCCTCGTTCGTAAAACGGGTGGCCCTGAAACGGGCGCTCACACACAGTACACACATGATGCTAAACATTGAAGAAAACAGAGAAACTGACTGTGAATGTGAAAAACTGGGGAAAAGAATTAAGTTGATTAATTTATCATGACAGACGCTTAAAGCCTACAGACATAAATCTGTTTGTTTATTGACTGGGTAGTACAATGTGAATGCTTCTGTCTCCAACTTCTATGTTACTACTAGGGATGCAAACGATTAATCGACTTGTAATTAATTATCGATTAATGGTTTATTAGATTAAAATTACTTCCAGTTGATTAAATAAAAGTGTTTGTTCAGATCTACTTTTATTGTTGTAGTTTGGCCACAATCCAGCAGAGGGCGCCAGTGGTCATTCTTAAACCTTAAACGTAATTATTAACTGTATAGAATTAAAGATGGCAGCTATTCCAGAACAGGAAAGAGAAATGGTCCAGTTTGC